CTTGAGGCCTCCGCCCGCGGCGCTGGAGCCTCAGGGACGGGCTACATTCCTCTGCCCCTGCCGCCAGGCCTTTGCCCGGCTCCCTTCCTCCTTCCCCAGGCCCGAGGGATGCCTAAAGCGAGCCCTTGCTGGGCCTGCATCCCCTCAGCCCGCAGGCCGCTGTGGGGCCTGGGCCCCGGCAGCCTCACACACTCGCCCCAGGCCTCCAACACGGCCTCGACGGGGAGCTTGGGCTTCACGGCCCCTTCTCCATCACCCTGCGGTCCTCCCCTCGCCTTGGCCAAGAGCCATCCTGCACAGATCGCCCTGCCGTGGGGGAAGCCGCCAAGCCGGTGAGCTCCTCACAGACAGCAGGTTGTGACCCAGTCCCTGTGGAAGAATTCCTCCCTGCCCACCAAGGTTTGGGCTTTCCACCAGCAATCTGGAGAAGTGAAGTGCACGGCTCCCCCAGGCAGCACAAAGTTATAGAGGTTGGGGGGGTGGGCGACAAAAATAGCTCTGTGGAAAGAGCCAGGGGGTGGCAGTGTTTCCAAAAACCTTCCCTCTGCCTGTCCTTCCAGCCACCTGAACCAGGCCGCTGGCCCTGGGGATGATGCCACCAGGCCTTGGGGTGAAGGCAAGGCTGGCATCTCCGCTAGTCCTAATTATCTTATCCGAAAAGGAGGTGTGCGTAAAATAAAAAGTTATGAATTCCTCTCTCTGTAATTTATTTCCACAATTAAACATTGTGAAGTCTATTAATAAAGTGTAATGAATAGTGTAAATTTTCATTTAGAACTTAATTCCATGGCTCCTAATAATCCCAGCTGCACAACAGAAGAAAATTGCTACCTGCCTATTCTGTCTTAACAGAAGGAGCAAAAAGCCCCTTAAATCAGACATTAGATGGAAGTGTCAGGACTCTCCCATATACCTCCAGACTCATAAATGACAGACCAACCATTAGCTGTAATGATTTGTCTTCATTGCATCACCCATTCACTTATTCAACTGTTGTCAAAGTTCTTTACGGAAGATAATTGTTCATTGTTGCTACTGCATCTGTCCAGACTTTTAATTAAACAAATAATAATCAGGATCCATCACTATCATCTTTACAACAGAGTTTTATCTTCTTTTCTCAGGTGCCGTCCTCATGGGGTTCTAAAGCTCTACACAGAAAATCAGGCTGGCTTCGGATGCCCTTGACATACAAGTTTTACTTGCTGATGAAGAGAAAATTGGGGCATAGGAGCTTGATTTTTTTTCTAAGCTGGTGACAGACAGACACAACATTGGCTGAAGCCAGGGAGGACTGGGGGTACTTGCTGGTTTGGACTGTCAGAGGTGACGTTTCCCACTGCAGTCAAAGGGAACTGGAGGCACGTTGAGGAATGTAAACAAGATGTCCTCCGAGCGCCCAACCTCCTGCAGGATAAACACCACCTTGGAGTATCCTTCTGACAGAGGGCTGCGGGGTTTTCAGTCCAAAGAAAGGTACAGGGAGCAAGGAATACAACTGCTTGAGAGCTGGCCTTGACCTTTTTACAACATTTGAGAGAAAACAAATCATTCAGAAAGCATTTTTTAATGCTTTCAGTAAGTACCCGTCTCCTATTCTGTCCTCAACCTATACTACACACATTAAAAAAAAGACAATTCAGTGTAAAAACCCCACAGCATCTACACAAAAGTTAAATTCACAGCCCATGCCATAGTTAGGAAGTCACAGTGCACATGTACACAGGTTTATAGATATGGATCTTGCTCTGTGAGAGAGAAGCAACAGGGTTTGCCCTGCAGACACCTGGCCAGTGAGGGCTGGAGCTGGACTAGGATTTGTTTGCAGGTGAAAACGGTTAGGCTAGAGCAGTTGAAATTAAATTTAGAGTCATGCATCCTTTACTTTCCACTTCCCTGTGCTGTTTATTGGGGCAGACCAGAGAAAAAGAAAATTATTTGACTGAGAGAGAAAGCCTAACCTGCACCCACTTTGCTCAGGCAATTGTGAACTGCAGATGGAGGAACAGGAGCCAAGTGAAAACAGAGAGAGAGGTAGCAGTGCCATGTTCACTTTTGAATGAACATTTGAACGCAAATGAATGCACAGAGGATGAGAAAGAAAGAGCTGGGTCTAATATAGAAATGGACTAGAAACGTATAGAAACGTTCTTGCAGCCAGGATGCATGGCAAGGTCTGCACTCCTGGTTTCTTTGAGCAAATTTGTTGCTGATTCCTTGCACAACTTCAGAAAACACTTCCCTTCTGGTGTCTCTGACTGGATATTTAGACTTTAGACTGGATATTAGGAAGGATTTCTTTGCAGAAGGGGCTGTTGGGCGTTGGAATGGGCTGCCCAGGGCAAGGGGGGAGTCCCCATCCCTGGAGAGGTTGAAGAGTCGGGCTGAGCCAGCGCTGAGGGATCTGGGGGAGTTGGGAACAGTCAGGGTGAGGGTCATGGTTGGGCTGGAGGACCTTCAAGGGCTTTCCCAACCTTGACGATTCTGTGATTCTGTGCCCGGGTTTACCTCACTGTGCAGTGTAAATTATGTTTCCTTTTCGATGATTAGCATCTGCTGGAAAATATTTAGACCCTCTGATCAAAGCTACTATGGAATAGCAAAGCTTCGTGGAGGATTCTCTCAATATGAGGGCTGAAGTTTGCATGATTTACCTGTGGACACAACTCAGGGCATTTGCTGGGTACTGTATTAGCGTGTGCTGGGTTATGGCCCAGAGGAGCCAGGGAATGCCGGTGTCTGGGTCAGAGATAGGGCCCAGCTGCACGGCTGCTCACAGGCAGGAGGTGTGAAATATTTCCAGGGGCCAAGGAAGACAATTATGAACTTAGGTACATACAGAGTGTCTGATTTTGCTCTCCGAGATACAACAGGATAAGCTCTGGTGTATTATAACTTATATAATTGCTTGATGGGACATTTTTAAAGCTCCCTGTGCCTGTTCATGCAGTTGTATTGCTCTCCCTTTGCAGACTAAGAAGCTTAATCCTAATTACGTTCCCTCCTGGGGCGAGGACGGTGCAAGTTCCAAGAATCACAGCGAGCATCTCAGCTGGACCATGAAAAGCTGGAGGTAACTGCACTACTACCCTAACACAGGAGACACAAATAACTGAAAAAGGCTCCAAGGCAGCTCAAGTCCCAAGGCCCTGCTGGGGGTATTTGCCACTGTCAGAGTGCTGCGGTGCTCATGGATTAATTTGGGAACACAGATTTAATTGCATGTCTCCAGGTCTTCATCTCCTGATCTGGAGAAAGTCGGATTATCTTTCTACTTTGTCAAGAATTTGCACTAAGTGAAATCTTTTGCAGAGGTCAAGAGGTTGAAAGGCCCCTGTCCAGCCAGTAGCATTCAGCCAAGCAGGTTGGGAACGCACGCTACCCAAGTAGCAAGAACTTAATTTGATGCTGCATCCCCCACTGCAAATGTACAATAGCCAGGTACTAAACAGTTCAGCCCTACCCACCACGGCTGCTGATTGATCCAGGCATGAGAAGGTAGAAAAATCTGACCCAGTTATTTCACGGGAACATTGTACTGGTTTTAGCTTCTAGGAACCGTTTCTGAAGGAAAACCAGCCCCCGTGTTTTCTCCTGAACAAGTCTCTAGTTGTCTGCATGCTGCCAGTGCACAGTCCTGCTTCAACTGAAATGAGTACCACCATCGTCTAGGATCAGACTTCTCACCCAGATATGACTAAGCCCTTTTAAAACGAGAAACGCTCAGGATTTCTTGCTTAATTGCTAAAACAGATTAATTTGACTATTGAGAACATAACCAAGCGGAAGAGAGGAATTGACACACCTAGCTGGTTCCTGCTCAGGCTGATGATTCACTTTAATTGATGGGTCACGTTTGTTGATGATTTCCATCAAATTAGCTGCACAAGACTGCTGTGCTCCCCTCCTGCCTGCCAGGAAGGTGAAGGGCTGCATTCCCTGCAGCCTTCCCCGAGCGAGTCCAGCCACCGGCGCTTTGGGAGCTGATGCCATCTTAAAACAAGAATGTAACCAATGCAAACCAGCAAGCACAACCAAAGCTCGAGTTTTAGCTGCCGTGTGTCATGGCAAGGTCTCGTGCCTTCCCCACCCCGAGTGCTGCCACGGATTAGGGGCTGCATCTTTACCAAAAGGCTCCTTTGTCCCTGAGGTTTAGCTAATAAATCAGTTCAAGACTCCCGCCAGTTTTCAGCGCTCCAGTCACACACATGTGACGCTCAGGAAGTTGGCAGCAGAGCCAAGAAATGAGGGTGGCGGAGCCCAGTCGCATGGTGCCAAGCAACCCCCTCCCCTCCACGCTACTCCAGGAGTTTTATTAGAGCCTTATCAGATTTCCTGGTGACTCAGGCTACGCTGGTGACCGGGCCGAAGGGCACAGCGGCACCAACCACGCCAAGGCCCAGCAGACTGCGGCTCTCCCGCTCTGAGCAGCAAACGCAGAGGAGGCCGGTGGCTGCTCCGCTCTCCCTGTCTGGCCCAGGGTGCTCTGCTGGCCCTGCGAGCCCCAGCTGCCTCCTTGTGGGTGCCTGGGCCGTGCACCCGTTGTCTCCTTGCCACCCCCACGCTGCTGGGCACAGTGTAGTGCTGCGTCACCCCACTGCACCCCTCCAGCAGCGGGCACCCGCCAGGACAGTCTGCAGACCCCGTGTCCCTCTTTTGCACCTCCCTGCCCTGGCATTAGGGCCTCTTTGACTCCTTGCACCCCCCTCACCTCTGTGCACCCCTCCCTGCATCTTCACCCCCTCAATTCTCTGCGTCCAGCCTCGCATTAACACCCCTTGCCTCTACGTACCTCCCCTTTGCATTGCACCCCTTTGTCTCCTTGCACCCCACCTTACATTGCACCTCCCTCTGAGGCTTGCACGCTTGTCTGTTGTTTGTCTCTCTTCTGTGCACCTCTTTTTCAGTTCGATCCCACCTTGCTTTAGCACCCTCCCAGTTCTTTGCTCCCTCCTTTGTGCTGCACCCCACTTTGCACAGCACCCCCTCACCTCCAGGCATCCCTTTTGCCATAGCACCCACCTTGTGTTGTACCCTCCTCCCCAATTTGCACCCCTCCTTGCATTGGATCCTCCTCCTCCACGCACCCCCTCTGTGCTGCACCCCCTCTTGCAGGTCCTGTGCTCCCCCTTTTCTGCTCCAACCCCGCTTTGCAGTTGCACCTTGCTTTGTACTGTACCGCCTCTTCCACCAGCACCCTCCACTCCTGTGCTCCCCCCTTTGCTCCACACCCCTTCTTGCACCAGCACCCCCATTCCCATGCTCCCCCTTTCCTGTCTCCCCTGCTCTGCAGCAGCACCCAGCTTCATAGGGCACCCACTCTTCCACTAGCACCCCCCCACTCCCGTGCTCCCATTGCTCTGCACCCCTCTTTGCATTGCACCCCCTCCTCCACGCACCCCCTTTGCCCTGCACCCCCTCTTGCACTAGCACCCCCCGTTCCCATGCTTCCCCCTTTGCCTCGCACCCCCTCTTCCACTAGCACCCCTCTCGTGCTTCCCCTTTCCTGCCCCCCCGCCCGCAGCAGCACCCGGCCTTGCAGGGCACCCCTCTTCCACTAGCACCGCCCCCCCCTTTCTC